GGAGGAGGAGGAGGAGGAGGTGGAGCAAGGAGGCAGGAAGCATGAGGTAGGAGGCAGGAGGCAGGAGGCAGGAGGCAGGAGGCAGGAGGAGGAGGAGGCAGGAGGCAGGAGGCAGGAGGCAGGAAGCAGGAGGTAGGAGGCAGGAGGCAGGAGGCAGGAGGAGGAGGAAGAGGAGGATTTCCCTCGAGGGCTCCTGGGCAGAACATCACCACGCGGCCTCAGGCCGATCCTGCTGCATGAGATGCCTCCTCTCTCAGCCGAATCCTCTCCGCCAGGGCCGACATTCCAGGAGTCGAAATCAGGCCCGAGCGAGAGGAGGAGGAGGAGGAGGAGGACTGGCCAGGGTCAGCTGCCTTGAGCAGGACATACTTGGCCGAGGCACGACAAGTGGTGCCATCATTTGCAGCAACAGTGCCCCGAGTCCTGTAATGGGGCGGGAGACCTCGACGGATGCGTGACAAGGCGCCTCGCCCGCTAGGGCCAGGTGGTCCGCACATCCCGCCGAGGAGATAGCACCGCTTGCTGGTGAAGCAACCGCAGCGGAAACAGAACACAGTCGGGGCGCACTCGTCATTCTGCACAAAAGTCGTGCACAGGCGGTGGACACGCTCGCTCTCAGCGCCCTGCAACTTACGTAGCGCCGTGGGGAGACCCTTGCACCCGTCCATGGGTCTGTTGAAACATTTCGAGCACCTGGAGAGCGACGGGATTTCCTCATCCCCAGGGTCCAGAACGAGCCAGTCGTGCCACTCGATGGCACGGAGGGTCCGAGCTTTCACCCTAGGAGCCGTGGGGTCCCGTTGAAACTGGAGTTTCGGAAAAAGCGACAAAACTGCACCGAACATGGCCACCAGCTTCCGCAGGAGGGCCACATCCTTGTCTAATTGCTCCAGCTCCTCGCCTGGCAGCGAGGGGTGCAGAGACAAAGCATACTTAGCCAGACGGTCCGCATCCTGATTCCCAAGAGCGATCTTGCGTTCCTGGGCGGGAAGCGCGGCTATCACCTCGTCCGGCCGATGCGCTGGCGTGTGAGCAAAGGAAGCAATGCAACGCTGGCCTGACTCCTGGAGGGCACGCCTCCGAAGTCCAGCGAAGACATGGCCTGGGTCCAACTGTACGGACGGGCGCGCATTAGCCAGGTGAACGACTCCCAGACAATCCGAGTGGGCCTCACTAAGGCCTGTAGCCACACAGGAGAGAGTGGCAGCCCCGAGGTGTTCTCCCGACTGGGCCGTCTGGGGAAGGCCAGGCCAAACCGTTCCAAGAAGTCGAGCGCGAACCTCATACGGGGTCTCGCTCGACGAGTCGAAGAAAACGGCCGCGTACGTGGCACGATTCAGGTCGCGAAAAACAAACTGAGTAGCCGAGCCGTCAACAACGATTCGGGTGTTGACAGTTCGCTCACAAAACTCTTCGAGGAGGAGTAGGAGGAGGAGGAGGAGGAGGAGGAGGAGGAGGAGGAGGAGGAGGAGGAGGAGGGAGGAGGAGAAAGAACCAGGAGAAGAAGGAGGAGGAGGAGGATATAACAGGAGGGAGGAGGGAGATGGAGAAAGCAGGAGCGCGGAGGAGGAGGAGGAGGAGGAGGAATTGGGGGAGGGTGAGGGGGAGGGGGGGGGGGGGAAAGGAGAGGAGGAGGAGGAGGAGGAGGAGGAAGAGGAGGTGGAGGAGGAACTTCCAAAGGTGACCCTTGCATCCTTCCGCTTCGTCGAAGCAGCAAAAACGGCATAACCATACTGTTGCCGCTCCGCGCGGGTTTCTTGGATCCGCGCTGGGCCCCCTGGCGCGCTCCGCGTGCCAGGGAGGGGGGTCCAACGCAGATCCAAGAAGCCCGCGCGTAGCGCCAAACGTTGATGGTTATGGCGTTTTTTCTTCGTCTATTTCGGCCCATCCTTGGCCGTTTTCGCTGGCCGCGCCTGGCCCGAAGAGTGTCGACGCACGATGGCCTGCCAGGGCCCTGGCCTCCTTGTCGTGCGCCCTCGTGATATAGACGGGTGGACCGTCTGGTTCTTGTTGGGGGATCCTGGCGTTCTCCTTCCCTTTCGGCGCTTGTGTGGGATCCTGGCGTTTCTCGGATCCCGCCGTTCTCTTGGGATCCCGGAGCGATCCCCGAGCGGCCGCGGGAGGCCCAGGCTTTTTGGCCCGAGAACAACCCGGAGACCCAGTTCTTCGACGATCAGGTTTCTCCGATGCAGGCGCTTGTCCTTCACGTCGGCCTCCCATGTGGGGTCCCAGTGGATGGGGTCGGAAGACCGCGCTGCATCGCCGATGCATCGCCGTTGCGGCTCGTGGAGGCAGTTCTTCTCCACGCCGACGTCGCCGATGCATCGCGGACGTCGCGGATGCATCGCCGATGCATCGCCGATGCGGCGAGATTTTTCGACCCCATCTACTCCGACCCCATCTAGGAGGCCTCCAATATCGGCCTTCTCGGGGCCGCCCATCGGCCCTGGGACCATCAGAAACGAGCCCAGGACGAAGACGTACCACCAGGGAAAAATTTGATGCTCGGTTGGGGGAACTTCCTGCGGCCCCCACATAACGAATATGTTCGACTCTAGTTTGACCCCAGTTCGATTCTAGTTCGACTCTAGTTCTACCCAGGCTCGACTCAGGTTCGACTGAAGGTCGACTCGAATCGACGGACGTTCTGCGCAGCTTCGACGCGCGAGTGGAGCGAGCGGCTTCAGGGAGGTCCCCCAAATGAGCAGCCAAGGGGAAGAGGTCGGGAGCTCTGGAGCTGCGGGCTGAGAAAATCCCATCGTCGGATGCTTGGGCACCCCTCAGAGGCGAAGCACATACCGATCCCGATGCCCTTCCCTCAGTTTTCCAAGGCGAGCATCTATCCATAACCACAGCCCCAGGGATCGCTCTTCTGGGGCCTGGGCAGGCGGCGAATGTCCATGCACAGGCGGCCCTGGGGGAGGTCAACCATACCCATAGGCGCCACCTGCCGAGGTCCCCGAGGTGGGACGGTGCCAGGTCGAGGATAGATCCCTTCCAGAGCGTTCTTGAGCGCTCTCAGAGCGTTCCGGAACGCGTTGAGAGGCCACGGCGCTCAGACATCCTCCAGGGCCTCCAGATCTCAGAGATTCTCGACTTGCCCCCACCCGATGTTTGCCTCGCCCTGGCTTCGTCTTTCACGAAGATCGATCTCGGGGCTCGCCGCCGACAAGAGGAGGAGGCGGAGGCTCAGGAAAGTGATCATGCGAGACATGGGGACCAGGATGCGCAAGAAGACGGAGGCACTGTACATAGGCACGCCCTCGTGCGCCCGCGCCGCCTGCGTCCCTCTGTGCGTGGGCGGCTGGCAGCGGCCGGAGCATCCGGGGCCCCTGGTCCATCCAGGCGTGCCTGACCGAAGTTCTCTTCTGGTTTTTGGGGCGCCTGCTCGTAGAGAGCGGTGCCCGCTCTCGGAAGAGCGGATGGCCACACCTCTGCTTGACGTCGACGCCTCCTCGCCCCTTGTCCCGATGGAGAGCGGGCAGCCATGACTGCAGCAGGAACGACAGCAGCAGAGGAGGAGGAGGAGGAGGAAGAGGAGCAGCAGCACCATTCGCAACGACATTGTTGCGCAGGGCACCCGTTCATTTGAAGTGCAGGCCAGTTGGGCCAGCGTTGCTCCCGCAGCAGCGCATTAACACCGCCGTGCGGCAGTACGTAGTCCCTCACTTCAGGTTCGGTCCAATGTTGGCATGACTTGCCCTCGTCTCGACGACGGCCTTTTTGGCCCGCTTGGCCCTGCATAAGTCTGCTGCTCCGTCCCCCTCTGCCCTCTGCGTCTGCATTCCGTCGCATGTCTACATGTCACATATTCCATCGGTTAGATTGTCAGTCGCTTTTGCGCCGAGACGGCAACGGCACCCACTGGCTTCCATAACGTGTCTTGCTGAACTTAATGCAGGCACGGACTAAGGTTTAAATGCGCCCCACCTCGTCCTCCGCGGAAGGGCACTATTGTCTGCCTCCCTCCGATGCCGCCTTCAGCGAGGTTTGCAGCTGGATCCCACAGGGGCCATGTTCTGCCAATCGCCCGCGCCTAGATCAGACATGTTCATATGCTCTGCCTTAGCACTCCTGAGAGCAGGGCAGTCCAAAACACGTGTTGGCCTTCTGGTTGTCGTGCTCCTCCTCCTCCTCCTCCTCCTCCTCCGTTTCCTCCTCTTCGTGCCCCTACTCCTCCTCGGCCCGAGGGTCGGAGACGCAGTACCACACGACGCTGCACGGCATCACGCGGCCACCGTAACCGAACGCCGGGGGCATGGCACCACACAGCCGGCGGAATCCGCGAATCGGGGACAGGGCGCCACACGGCACCGCATGAGCGACGCAGAACACGGGTTCAGCTGCGCGGACATTCGCGCAGATGTTGCTCGCGTAAGGTCGCGCGTAAGCGCCCTCGTTTCCACTGCAGCGTGCCTCCTTGACTCCCCGCGCAAGCCACTGCGTAAGGTCGTTATGTCATCGTGCGTGATACTCGTGTCTTTTCGTCGCTCACAGAGCACCACTTGAGGGGGCATCGCATCCGAGAGCAAGTCGAGTGCGCAACGCCGCACGACACCATGCGCGCAGCAGGCTTCAGAGCCAGGGGCACGACGCCAGGCAGTGGGCGCAAAAGTGGGAGTGCGGTCGCCACACAGTGCGACACGTTACGCCGCACGGCACCACACGTTAGCCCCGGGTAGCTTACCGCATCGGATAACTGGGGCAGGCGACGCCAAACACTACCACAACGGCACCATGTCCGCACGGCACCGTTCTCGAACGGCACCGTGCTGAGTGCCTCAATATGTTATCCGTTGTTTGTGTGGTACCACCGTGGATCCATGTGGTGCCGTGTCGAACTTGTTGCCTGCGTGGTGCGTTGCGACGTTGCATGAGAATTTTGAGTTGCATGGGGTACGTGGTGTCGCGGAAATTGAGTTTGAACGTGCTCGGGTCTCTCTGGCAGGGCGCACGCGGTGCTCTACGCTCCATATGGGTTTCCACACAAATCGGATTTCACGCATAGGTAAGCATGGTGGTCCACGCTTACGGGGTTCCCCACGCGCATAGGACCCGATGTACACGTGGTACCACATATCGGTCTTCACACTCGTTGGATCCTATACACGTGGTTCATTCCACAAGTTTCCATTGAGGTTTGCGCACGGTTTCCAAACCAGCGGGCCGAAGGGCTCCGTGCCTGTGGTCCTACGCAGGTTACATGATATTCCATGCGCGTGGCTTCACCCATGAGCCAGTGGCGGGCCGTTTTTCAATCCTACGACTTTTCGAGGGTCGGGGACGACGTCGGGGTGGTCTGGCGTATACTGTTTCCCCGTTTTCGCGGGGAAGCAACGAAACATGTATACACCAGGATCCCGTATACACCAGGATCCGCGTTCCTGTGCGAATTTCAGCGCAGGGTCGGAAAAAGCGTCGGTGTATAGAGTTCGTTTCCCTACATTATGGCCTCAACGGTGATCGGGTTTCACATGCAGGGCGTCCACGCCCACGGGGTTCCACACGTGGAGCTTCACATGGGCACTATGCTCGGAGGGCTCGCCTGCCAGAGGCTCGCACTTCGATAGCCTCAGATATGTTTGAAGCCTCCAGGGTGCGTGCGAGCGCGTGTGTGCGTCTTGCCTCGCACGGCATGGTCAATTCGGCCTCTTCCGCGTGCTTCCGCTTCTGCGTTCTTGTTCTGCATGCGGCTGATCCCATACAGTCCTCCCGTCTGATCTGCGACGCCAGGTGGAATCTCGCCTAAGCGTTTCCAGGCGTAGCGCTCGCGACGGTGTATGCACCTCGCCGCTGGAGGGAAAGTGTTGTGTGCGGTGGCATCGGGCTTAGTGGTGGCTCCATACTAGGATTGCGCCATAGAGTTCCGCAGTTGCGGCTCAACACGAAGGGCTTCACGCGCATCATGTCCAATCAAAAGGGCTCCACTCACGTGCGGCTCCTCACAGATGTTGGGGTTCCTCACGTGGAGTTTCACAGAGGGTATCACACATAGGGGCGCAATTTCTTGTACACCCTAAACTGCACCGCCAAAGTTGTGCCCCACAGACTGCAAGCCATGTGGTGGACCCCGTAGGTTGTATTCATAGACTTCCCTCCCCTTGTCGATGTGTTGCTCAGGGCCACTGTTTGGGGCCGAAGCGCCTGCCTCCTGCGGCCCCATTGCGCAAGGTCGTCCGTCCGGAATGTTCCCGCTGTCGCTTGTTGATTCGGTCTCGGGTATGGTTCTGTATGGTTTGTTCGGGATGCGGTGATTGCGTCCGATTTGTGGTGTGTTCACAGGATAGTGCGAAGTTCCAGGTGCACATGGTTCGGCATTGGTCTTCCTGTTCGTTTGAGTGACCATTGCCCAGTGGACACACTGATCCAACACATGGGCAAGGGGGCGGCCAAGGAGTTGTTCCTTCACCGACGCCGTAGTCGATAACGTCGGGGGAATTACAGGCTTGATCGTTTTCGCTTGCATGCAACGAGTCAACCCTCTGGCACGCAAGGCCGTGTCTACACGGATCAGGGACACGCAAACCCAGCCTTATCCGAGACGACCCCCCGAGGAACGGAGATCCGATCCTGACATACATGCTCAGCGTGCAAGATCTTGTGGGCACCAGGACCTGGCGCACCGTGCTCCCTGAACCTTGCCCCGTCCAGCTCGTGTCCAGATGCCCTCAGATCAGGATGCTACTATCTGGGGCCGTCTCGCCACATGGCTGCGAAGCGCACGGCAGGTCGCGCGCGCGCGCTCGCGTCTCCCGAGAGGTCCTCCAGCAGCCAACATCCGATCTCCGAGGGCCTCGTGCGGCTCACGGCGACCGAGGAGGCCTTCGCTCCGCCGCCGCCGCCGGCGCGAGCGGGCGGCCGCTGCCCGGGAGCCATGTCCGTGGTCCTCGCCTTCTGCTGTGCTCTCGGCTACGCCCTCCTCCGCCTCGCCCTCGCCGTGCTCGCCGCGGTGCAGCCTGGAGGCGGCGGCCCCGGTGGCGAGCCGTGGCCCGTCGACGGGGCGCCGGCGCTGGCCAGGCTGGAGCGCGGCCTGGAGCGGATGGCCGCCCGGACCGGCCAGGCCGGGGCTCACGTGGTGATGGTCAGCATGGGCATCATCTGCATGTCGCTGTCCACGCTGCACGGCATGGCCATGCTCGTCACGAGTGGGCAGCTCTCGCTCTCGCCCTCGGACGCCTGGCGGGCGGCGGTGGTCATAGCACACCTCACCGTGGAGCTGTTCGTGGACCTGCCGCAGCCCGACGTAACGCTCTCCCTCGCGGTGGGCATGTGGGCATGTGGGTTCATGGGCGCTCTGATCCTATCCCCGAAGAAGATACAACAGCACAGCTATAAACTTTAGGAGTTCCGCGCGGGTTTCTCGGATCGGCGCTGGACCCCCCTTCCCCGGGGCGCGGAGCGCGCCAGGGGCGGCACCGGAGACGGCCCCCAGGAGGGCCCAGCGCCGATCCAAGACATTCGCGCGGAGCGCCAAAAGCTTATGTTTATGCCGTTTGTTCTTCTTCAATGGCCACTGCGGCGCTCGGGCTGGCCGCGTCGCGGCGCCCAAGCGTGGGGCGCGCGGTGGGCTACTCGCTGCTGGCCGCGATCCTGCTGTCGTGGCTGGTGGACCTGGGCACGACCCTCGCCGAGGTGTCCACGTGGGGCCGCTTCGGCGCCCCGGCCGCCCGCGCCAGCCGAAGGGCAACAACACGCGGCACGGGCAGAAGCTTCCGGACAGTCCTCGCGGACTTCTCGGAGGGGCGCCCGGCGCCCCCTCCTCCGGTGCGCGACGCGCGCCTCCCGGGGGGGGGGTGTTCCAGCGCGGGCCCGAGAACTCCGCGCGGGGCCCTCTGGAGTCTGCGCCCTCCCGTTTTCTCGTTGGTGCTCTTCGCCAGCCTCTCCGCCAGACCTGGCGCCGGCGGCGGCAGCGACCGCCGCCAGGCGGTGTTCGAGGACGCGCACAGGCTCTTCACGGGCGCCTACCACGAGCAGCGCTGCAGCGTGGCGCGCCGCGCGAAGGGCGGGGCGCCCAGCAGCATCTCCTGCAGGCCCGGGCCGGAGGAGACGTTGGCGCGCCTGCTCGAGCTCTCTGTCCGGGCGGACTTCTGCCAGCCCAGGGGCCCGAAGCGGGCTCGGCAGGTGGAGGCCTGCCTCGACCACGCCCAGACCCTGGGCGCGCTGGCCGGCGAGCCGTCGGACAGCGACACGATCTACTGCCAGTGCTGGTGCGGCTACGCCGACCGCATGCAGCACGTCGTGCTCGGCTACGCGGTGGTGTGGTCGGCCCTGCTGCACGGCGTGCTCCGGGTGCTGGAGGCCGCGGCGGGCCCGTGGCTCTCGAAGATGGGCGACGTGCAGCGGAGAGAGTTCCAGTGCTTCGCCTTCTGCGGCATGTGCCTCCTGATGTACCGGGCGGCCGCTGCGGCCGCCGCCGCCGCGGCCGCCAGCGGCGCTGCCGCGGCGTGAGAGCCGCCGGAGGGCGCGCCGCACCCTGCGGAGTTTCGCTCATGCCGTCGCCGTCGCCGTCGCCGTCGCCGCTGCCGTCGTCGTTGCCGTCGCTGTCGCTGTCGCCGTTGCCGCCGCCATTGTTCTTATCCGTCACCGCGTCTGTCGTTGTCGTCGTCGTCGTCGTCGTCGTCAGCCTGTGGGCGCTTTTGCGTACCTATTTCTGAGCCTCAGGGTGCATCTGGAGGCCGTCGTCATCGCCGTCGTCGTCGTCGTCGTCAGTTTCTTGCTCCCTCTCCCCTTGAGCGGGCACTTCTTGCCCCACTCTTCCTCCTCCTCCTCCTCCTCCTCTTCCTCCTCCTCCTCCTCCTCCTCCTCCCCTGGATGTGGTACGTTTGCCTTCCTCGTCCTTCTCGTCTTCGTCGTTAGCCTCTTCCTCCCGTTCCTGTCTTGTGCTTTGTTTTTGTTGTTGCTGCTGCTGCTGCTGCTATTGTTGTTGTTGTTGTTGCTGTTGTTGCTGCTGTTGTTGCTGTTGGGTTTGTTGTTGTTGCTGATGTTGTTGTTGTTGTTGCTGCTGCTGTTGCTGTTGCTGTTGCTGCTGTTGTTGTTGTTGTTGTTGTTGGTGTTGTTGTTGTTGTTGTTGGTGTTGTTGTTGTTGTTGTTGTTGTTGTTGTTGTTGGTGTTGTTGTTGTTGTTGCTGCTGCTGTTGCTGTTGTTGTTGGTGGTGTTGTTGTTGTTGATG